GTCGATGAAATAATCCTAAAGGTATAATGAATGATGGATAATGGTCGTTAGGCCAGTTTGAGTTAAACGTTCTGTTAACTAATCCTATAACTTAAATTTTATTTAAAAAAAAGGTTATACACGCCATTTATTCTCCATCTATTTCATACTCGTTTTTGCCCGCGGCTCCGCCCAGGAGTATGTCGGTTATCGCGGTAAGCAGTAGCGTATGTCCTTCTTCTAGAATCTAACTATCTCCATTCCAAATTTCATCTAAATCGGATCAGCGGTTTTAGTTTCCCCATACAAATTTCCACACCCCTTTTTCACCCTTCTTAAAAGACGATTTCTTGAATTAAAACTATCCTATGTCCTTTCCCGGGGCTCGAATTCTCTCTATACCAAATTTCATCTAAAACGGTTCAGCATTTTAAGCGTAAAGAGTAACTCACTTTCGCATTTATAATAGAATTGGTATATATCTTTTAAGGTAGAAAAGCAAACGGAGACGCTTGTTTTATAGCTAATGTATTATGAATAAAGCTTTTATTCACACCCATAATTTCGGAGTATAATTTTAATCAAAAATTTAAATTATTTTAGAATACCGTTACCCGATTTGTGATATCCATTAAAGCTACTCAAAATGACTCTTCAATCAATCATTTACCTCTAAATTGACCATTATACAATTATCATACGAGATTAGGTTCCCATGCTCTGTTCATTATGATCATTAATCGGAGACAGTCGACGAAGGCCTGCGATACCCGCCCACGATTCACTCAATTAAAATTGTATTATCTGTATCTGAATAAAAAATCGTGATATCTAAATATAATAATATCGAAGCTAAGGTTGTCTCAAATACCAATACACAATTTAGACAATACATCTCACGAATTGGAAATGCAAAGTTTGCTTAAGAAAAATTCTAATAAAAATGTCTACGAAGCCTGCGAAGATATACAAATTATTTGATAGGATATCAGATATCATCAACGATGTCACTCGCATGGTGTCAAAGGTATTAAGTAGTACTAAATAAAACTTTATTGTTATGCCTGTATCCTACTGGTTTTAGAATGGTAGTGGTAAAATATCAATAAAAATAATTATTTAATCTTCATCATTAACAGCCTTAATAGTCCACTGCTGGACATAGGCCTCACCTTTGTAAGGAAGTTTTGGCCTACTACACCACGCTGGCCAGACGGGTTGGTATAGGGTTTGTGTCGAGTTTTCCTTCTCTCTGCAGTGCTGTTGTCCTGCGTAGTTTGCTCCCTTAGTAGGCTCTTACGACACCCACGAGATGAGTAGGGGTGGTGACACTCTGTATTCTTAATCCGTCACCACACAGTCAAAATAGCAATAAATACCGGTAAAATATTGTTGGCCACATTCTAAACTTTTCTTATTGGATTAATATTGGGATAACTACTTGAGTTGGTAGAGGTAACGTGTATCAAGGTTATGGTTAATTAGTACTTTTGATAGTTTCTACTAAAAGTGGTTTCGTTGTGTAGTCGTTGCTAACAGGCCGGTGCGTATTTAGATAGTTTCTCAAGAACTCCAGCATTTTAGAATGTTTTATATTATAAATGCCGGTTTTAAAAAGCATATTCATAAAATATCTAAATAAATACTGCTAGCCCTATGATGTTCGCATATTTTATACCAACATTGACTCATTCGGTGTACATTCGGTCTCACTCACTAACCAATGTCAAGAGTTGCATGTCCAATAGTCGGCGCCACAAAGGACGCCAATGCCATAGACACATTTTAACTTAGATTAAGAACATACTATAAACAACACTTTGACCATTGGCCCCTAGGTATAGATATTTATAAGGTATCGTTAGATATTGTGCAATGCCATCATCATCATCAACCCTTGACATATTAATGTTGTCGTGGACTGCACAGATGGTGTAGTGGTTTAAGCGGTTGTCACGCCGCTTACTACTACGCTGAGTGTTGTGGGACACTTTGTGTGTTCCACAAATTGTTGCTCTGTGTCTGGGTGTTCTTTGTGTCCGTTTCATGTATGTTTGTAAAGTCCCCCGCGACACAGGATATATTCCTAATGTGGAAGCTGTCTTTGTAAAAAAAAAAGTAATTATGTTAACCTTTGAGTACATTGCATCTGAGTATCTGTTAAATCCTTTAGCACACATGACTTACGACTGACATAAACTCCATTTTTAGAGTTCCGTAACTCAAAAAGAAAAAAGAAACGGAATTCTTATATGATCACTTTGTTGTCTGTCTGTCTGTCTGTCGCGCGTTCCCGAGATAAAGGGTCTTCCTCTATTTCGGGAACGCGTGAAGGTATCGAGTTGAAATTAAAACTATATACTCAGGTCTACAGTCCATTAAAGCTGTAAAAAAGTCAAACTTCTAAATTACTCGTAACGTACAAAATAAGATACAACCGTTAGTGCCGTAAAAAACCCATATTTCGACACTCTCACGGGAATCATAATTTATAGGGTACTTCCCGTTGAACTAAAGCTATGCAATTAGGCAAGTAATATCGTCTTATACTACAAGTACAGGGAAAAATCTGCAGTCTATACATTTTTAATTAAATAAATAAAAAAAAATCTTTTTAAAGTACGTCATCAATCATCGAGGTATAATTTCACTTATGAAACACAATAATATAAGAAATCATAGGTTTTGGAAACTGAATTTCGGGGAAAAACCGGCAAAAACAATCTGCGAGACTCGATTCCTGAACTATTTATAATATGTACCTACAAATTTGTACGGAACCCTCGGTGGGCAAGTCCGACTTGAACTTGTCCGGATTTTTTATTCTGATTCAGATATTTAACAATTCGGAATGGTCAATAGAGGTTTTATTAAGTTTTTACTTGACCAAACAATACTATAACTTTGACAACGCAAATGGTTACCTTATAAACTCGTTACCCTCCTAAAAATAATTTTAAATATAAGAAGCTGTACCATAGATCTTATTTAATAATAATAACTTCACACATTTAAAAGACGGTAGTCTCAGTCCAAACATGCAGACCCTGTACTATGGTAACCCGACTGCTGATACACACTCTTATATATTTCTTGTACTGGGGAAGTAGGAATCGAACCCACGAGTTCGGTCGACGGTAATCCTGTTAAATGAACTTATTGATCTACATAGCAGTAAGACTATGTGAAAATGTGTGTGCGCAATATCATTACGCATTGACGCCGCTGTCGATATTTCGCCGATAGTGTATTGATACTGGGTGACGGGTCGTGATCGTTATATGTGCAATACGACCACATGTACTTGTTAGATAAAATTATATTGCTATTTTGGAATACCGAAATATATTATTGTTCGTTAGTTTATACTACATTGTTGGATACATACCTAACAGTCCTACCGGTTTTTTTTGTGGGATCTCTTAATTTATTGACTTGACTGCAAAAGTAAATGGTACTAAACTGATCCTCTTAATATATATTAGACTAACTGTAAAATCTTTCGGGACTTCTTTTCTTCAAACAAGCATGAAGTTTCCTGATGGACAGTAGTTATCTAGTGCTAATTTATAATAGGGTATACTATAAAATCATCATCATCATCAATCATCAACAGCCTTTAATAGTCCACTGCTGGACATAAGCCTCTCCTGAGAAAGGAGGTTTTGGCCTACTATACCACGCTGGCCAGACGGGTTGGTAAAGGGTTTGTGTCAAGTTTTCCTTCTCTCTGCAATGCTGTTGTCCTGCTTAGTTTTTTCCCTTAGTCGGCTCTTACGACACCCACGGGATGAATAGGGGTGGTGACACTCTGTATTCTTAATCCGTCACCACACCGACCATACTATACTATGAAATAATACTATAAAATATAATATAAAAAAAAAGAGCCTTGAGATTCATTGCACTATTTCTTCTGACACACACACACATTATATTTGATAAAGCGATCTATTGTTTGATTTTTAATGATGAATGTGTGTTTATTGAAAATTCTTGATTATTCTTAATAAAGCTACAGTCCTAGAATTAGATTTTAATATTATTATTAGAAGATAAACTTAACATATGAAATAAAGATAAGAAACATATTGGCTATGGTTCAGATTTGTTTATGTGAAAAAATAACAGCCAAAATAACCAAAATAGTTCTATTTTACTTTGAATAAGTAAACAATCCAGGTAAATGGTTTTATATATTCACCAAACTCCGTATTCACTAAACCCTTATGTTGTATTATAAGACGCTTTACACGTGTTTGAACAAAATTTGTGTTTATATTCAGTTGAAACTGTGTTCTTTTCGTCACCTGGCAATATTCCCGAGCTTTCTCGAAAATCCTTTGTGTTTGTAAAATATTTTTTATATAATATACAGAGAGGAACATTTCGAGATGTGGGATATGTAAGCCGCCTACTATTATAAATTACGTTGGTAACTGAATGAAGAATAAGTACAGCAGTATTACAAATTTATCACGACTTGGCCGCGTTGAACTCTTAAAAGTGAATATATTTTTTTTGGTGACGGGGTGGAAAATCCCTTCGGATCTCCTGCTCCTTGGGGACTCGTTAGCTAGGAGTGTGTTGATGCCACTAAAAACCACCCCGACGGCCGGCCTCAGGTGTCCTACTCTTTGAGGACGGGGACCATGTTATTTCAGGTCCTTCCCGAATTGACACCATGCCTTATCAAGCCCTATCCGAAGGGGAAACATTTCCCACCTGTCCTTTACATTCGGGATCGGCCATCTCCCGATCCCGTTCAGCGGTCTCTTTCTGGAGCATTAAAGCTTCACAGAAAGAGACCACTGCGCCCCAAAAAGAGTATACTTATAAAAAGATAGTCAATAATATTGGTACTTCTAGCTTGTAAATTATATAGTGCTACATTAAATTGAGCCTTAAGATCAGGATATACGTAAGTCTGATCTCGAAGTTTCGATCGACATACATAGTAGCTAAGTTAAGTAAGCTTTACTATACTCTACTTAAACCACTAATTCCATATTTATTTGCAGATGATGATGAAGAATGTGGCGTATTGTCAGAAGGTTCAGAGACATCTGAAGTGGGTCGTGCTGACACGGACGATGAGGGCATCGAGCGAGATTCGGAGCCCGCGCCTAGAAGACGGCGCAGACGCAGGCGGTTCATGCTCAAAGATGTCATCGAGGTAAGTAAAGAAGCCAATAGTTCCATTTTCCCTTTATGGAAGTAAATAATATGACGCGGCGTCTTCCACGTTGTGGTAACGAATTTGTTACCACGTCCAGTGCAAAAGTTTTGTCTACATGAATATTTTATTTTTACTATATATTTGCGTTGGTGTATTGGGTTTTTAATAACAATATAGGATATGGCCAGTGGAGATGTTTACAACTTTCTTTGCTTATGTCTTCATTTACACATCTGAACTGAATTTTCGCCCTAGGAACGAAAAAACCGTACTCTGAGCTTTACAAATTTGGCTAGTAACTATGAAGAAAACTGATATTTTCTGTACCATTGATTAATTTATCAGATAAGACAGCCATTTTAGTTCCTCTAGCAATTTATCGTAGCACTCTCCGAGAGGTCTTTTGATTGATTGTATTGCGCTGGACAAATAGGCCTCCTTACTTGAAACACTATTTTTGTTCAAACATTCTCTATAAATATGTAGATAATAACCTGTTTCGAAGATTGTAATCACGACTGAGATTCAATACCAATTAACTGTTCCAAAATCGAGTACCGTTCCTATCGATATATTTTTTATTTTATAAAACACTACTTACACCGGTCATCAACTTTCACTTCGAATATCTTTGAGCCTCATCTGGATAAAGCTGGGTGTATGTTTATTTTTAGATGACATTGTCCTCAATACTCGATTCATATTATTTAGATCGGATAAGGAAGATATGCATAGACAAGGCATATAAAAGAAATTGGTTTTAGAGATTATACCTGGCTTTATCGATATAAACGTGTTTATCGATTCTTGTTTTGGATAAATAAATCGAATAATCTTTTCTGGATAAAGATATTGAAGTGAGCATGTTATTACTATCTTTTTTGTTAGTCATCATTTTATATGCAATGTTATAGTTTTTTATTTAAATGTGTTTGGAAGTGTTTTAATAGATGTTATTATTAGAAATATAACGATGGAAAGGCTAAGTAGATTTGATGGTATTTTGACGTGCCTGTTGGTCTAGTGGTTAGTGACCCTGGCTGTTAAGCCGGCGATCGTGGGTTCGATTCCCACCTAGGACAAACAATTGTGTGATGAGAACGGTCATTTGTTGTGTCTGGATGTAATTTTTCTTTATTATATATGTATTTACACATATTTAAGTGTGTTAATCAACATTTTGGTTTACCATAGTACAGTTTCTGCTTAGGTTACACACATAACACACTTAATTGCACACATCTCACACACGGCAATCTGATCTCATCAGATTGCCGTGTGTGAGATGTGGGCAATTATTATTATTATATTTGTGATTTCGAAGAAGATTTCCTACTAACTTGTGATACCAATATTGTACATAAATGTGACGTAGAGCGTTAAGTACTAAGTTAAAAATTGATGTCAATGATTATGTCTATGGGTCTTTAAAGCTGAAAAAAGCAAGGCAAAGCTAAGTTAACGCAATAAAAATATTAAATTACTTGGCAAATCAAAACTTCTCGTAGGTACTTCCTGTTTACGTAGGATTAAGAAGACGATAAACAAATTGTTGTAAACAAATAAAAAATGTTTTTTTTTTTGAAATTACAAATTTATTTTTAGATCTATGCAAAAAGAATAATTAAAGTTTGGAATAATGGGAAGAATGTTTTCGAAAATTGATTGCCGAAATAAAGGAACTATTTATTTAAAAAAATGTTTTCACTGTTGAGTGAGAGAGACTCACACTTGCCTGTCTTTTATTTTATCTATAATAAATGTACACAAACCATAAAAACATCGTCGTATAAAAAAAATTAAAAAATTTGATAAAATCACAGACCACATACATACATATAACATTTGGCTTTGCTCCCAATAATGTCGAAATCTCAACACTTCACCCGTGAACCCTCTCCCATAAATGGCCGTAATATGAAGTGTTGCACCACAAATTATGGTGTGATGTCATATGCTTTCACTCGGGCACGTATTAGGAAGTTGTTAGCGGATAATCTACGCTTTATGGAACTCTGATGGACTTGTTAAGTGAATACGGTGGAGTAAGGGTCTGGGCACACATGTATGAGCCGCGTGAGAACTTGTTTGTTAAAACCTTTGTTAAAGTTTTTGTCTGAGAATTTTGAATGTTGTTTGTATTTTTATGGTTACTCACTTTGTACATAAAATTTGCTAAGCAGTATTAATAAAGATATGTTATCCTATATTCGTACTTTCATTGATCTTTAAAATTTGCCTTTGTAGTTTAATATTTATGTAAAACACATATTGATAAGTTTTCGAAATTTATTATTAAAGTCCAATTCTAAAAGTAAATTTAAAAGTCAAAATCGTAAATTTCAGTTTGTTTTCCTTTCATTTTCAAAACTTGGCAAATTTGTTATTACTATTACACATGTTTATAAATCACGGGTAAAACTAACTTTTATCGCGTTTAGTGTTCACATTGAAAATAGATTAATATACACACATTATTTTAACTTCCTGAAAAGCTAACAATATTTTTCTTCTCGCAAACTTTCACGTTTTTACATTCAATGATTCCGTTCCGTAAAAATGTTACATTATAGTAGGTTGAGACCCTAACTCTTCTATTTTTTTAATGTGGAAAGACAAGTGTTAATCTACAATTTCTGTATGCGTTTGTTTTATAGTGGTTCTTGATATAATAGTCGTTAGTCGTTAATTATATGATATAATGGGCGAGGGACCGATATTGGTATTATGAAATTGTATTATGATATCAACTAAAGTAACATACATAAAACTCTTAATAGCTATTGCATCAGATGGTTGACTGAGCTTTTATTTTTTAATTAGATGTTTGAGTTAAAGGGTTTCGTTGGTACACAAGGAGTACATAAGATTTTTTTTATGCTACTCAGTTGGTAATAACGCGGCCCGCCTTGTGGTAAGCGATCACTGGCGCTTATGAACACTCTTCTCTTTAATAACGGTTCTGTAGAAATTTGTGCAAGTATATTAAATAATAAATTTAAGAAATAATAAGCTTGACACTGTATAAGGAAGGTCTATCTTCGGTTCCGAAGGTGGGATGAATTTGTGAATGTGGGCAATAACTCTGGAACGGCAACAGAGTGACATGCCTGTTACTATAACTGGATATTACTAAGAAGATAGAGCTCGCTAACTAAGATTCAATATTTCTGTGAAATTTTAATTCATTATGTAAGTAGAAATCTTTACGTTGTACACTCTCACCTATACTTAAAGTAGTAAATTAGGATAATGTCAATAAGAATGACTCATGAAAAAAGACAGCCAAAGTGCATTCTTTATGGACGATAAATCACCTACTAATCTTGGATTACGATACTTGTAAAATAATCTTGCACAAACATCGTGAGTGCAAAAATTTCTTTGGTTGCATCATGTTGTGTAAGTTGTTGTAGATATTCCTACAACTATAATATTAAGTTTTATGTTAATTTTCATCTCCAACTTTTCTACATTGAGATTTTTGATAAAAATAATGTGTGGCGGAAACCGTCCAAGTTTGACTCTACATTCGTTATAACTACAAGTGGTTTACTACCCTTACTCATAGTATTTTTCTCGGAAAATGGAAAATTACAATGAAATTCACCTTAACCTGAAAAGCAAAGCATAAAAATACCTACTATGACGTTAAAAGTAAGAAAGCCGCCCTAACTCAATTTTTGTGTTAGTTTTGAGGCCTATTTTAGCCAGTGAACGTCCCATGGCCTAACCGTACCTAGTTCGAGTATATTATGTACATTTAATATAATTAATATTATTTAACGGGAATTAACGCGATCTCTTATTTAGGGTATTACATACCTCTGGTTTGCCTGACGTTTCGACCAGGTTGCACCGGCCGTGGTCACAGGCTCGCGTAACAGATCGATCGATCGACAGGTAAGAGATCGCGTTAATTCCCGTTAAATAATATTAATTATCATGGAACGCGAAAGTTTAAAAGTTACATTTAATATACTTTTCACTTAAGATTTATTTAAGAAAATTTTGTATTGCTTTGCTTTAGGATACGAAACGAATTTGATTTGTATTCAACAACACGTGCGAATGTTTAATATTGATGTATTCATCATGGTGTAGTTATGTATGGCATTTTGCCAAAGTCTGCTAACATTTCTCACGATGATTAGGTGATGACTGTTATGTGTGACTATTTAGTTGGGAAAATGTATCCATGTTTGTGTGTAAAAATCAAGTATCTGATTGTTGGGGCTGTTATTATATTTTTCCCAACATTTAATAGAACCCTTTTAAACCACAATTTCGCTGACTTAGCTAAGTACGAGTTCGTACACTGATAAAAAAGAACAAAACTGTATGATTTTCGGTTTTTTTTTCTCCTAATTCTGATGTGGGTTCCGTTTAAGGGCGTTTGTGTGAAAGAGTCAGTAGAAAAATCACACTATATTAGGAGTAGTCGCTAATTGCGGTTTTAGAGCACCGCCTTAATGCGAATAAAACTCTACTGGGTAAAAGACCCAGTAAGCTCTAGATGTGGAATAAGCGAGCTTACAAGTAGGTTAAAATTTTAGCTTGCCTTTCGAAGCCTGGTTACGCCTATTTTCCCACCTAAATATGCTAAACTGTTGTACATAACGTGACAAAGACGCAGGTTGAAAAAGAAATAGGATGATTGGTTTTATATAATTAAAGACGGTGGGCCGGCTTTGCACCTATAAAACTGTCTGTAGATAATTATAAGAAAGTAACATTGAAAGGAATGAAGAAAGTAGGCAATAAATTACAGGCTTGTATTATTTCCTTTTGTTTTTGTCTTCCCGAAAAAAAATGGCAGCGAGAGAGATAATAATTTGAACTTAAGTTAACTTGGAGAAATTGTTTTAGTGAGCTTTTTCACTTTATGTTCTTAATTTGGCTGTCTTTAAGTTGACTAGATCTTGGCAAAGGCGGATTATAGTCAACCGCACTATGTCTACTACCGACAATGTATTGTTATTTATATTATATTACAA